TTCTCTTCTCTTCTCTTTTCTCTTCTTTTCTTTTCTCTTCTTTTTTTCTCTTTTCTCTTTTCTCTTCTTTTCTTTTCTCTTCTTTTTTCTCTTCTTTTCTGTTCTGTTCCGTTCTGTTCTGTTCTTCTTTGTCTTACTATGTTGCTTGGGCTGGTCTTGAGCTTCTGGCCTCAGCAGTCCTCTCACTTTAGCCTCCCAAAGTGCTAGCATTACAGATGTGGGGGCAAGTTTGCTAGTACTTTAAGATTGACAGTACTGTATCTTCAGGAAATCATTCCTCTTTTTTACTCCTTGCCACTGTTACTACCATTTCTAATCTATGCTATTCTTTTTCCATTGCTCTTTTCTTTCCTGTTTTATTTTTTCTTGCTTATGAAGTATATGATTCTAGTTCTTAATAGCTTTTGAGCACTTAATCGTGCCAGGAACCAAACTTTGTGGTGACCACGGGCCCTTGGTGTTGTAAGGTAACATAGAGGAAGGCAGGCTGTTAAAGGAAGACCAGGACATTTTATTAATAATTATCTCATAATGGCCTGGTAGAAGGACCATAGAGTATGCAGGTAAAGTTTTTGGTATTTATCTTGTCTGTATCTTCTCACTAACATCCTGTGGCCCATATTCTCAGGCCCTTGGAGAACTTAGTTTCTATTTAGAGGTGTTCAAGATTCTGTATAACCTGAATTTTATGTACTATAAATTAGGGGATGAGGGAAGGGGAGTAGGTTTTGGCCAGAGGATTAGTATTCTGGGAAGCTGACGATCCAAAAATTAGTGTAAGATCCTGGATGGCTAAGAGTGAATTTCTAGCACTTAGCATACGTAATGTGGGCACTTACAAGCATTTCTTTACTGGATAGAGATAATAAAGATGAGGGATCATCTGAAATAAGAAACAAAATGTAATTCTCATACAAAGGTTAAGCCATTCCAACTCGAAGAGATAATAGAACACAAAGGAAGATTTTTGGAATGTTGCTTTAGTTCTTTAAGTAACATTAGGCCCTCTGCAACCTTAAATGAATTTGAATTTAGCACTTTCGTTTTAAAATCCAACCTCAGTTAATGAGAGCTTGTTTCCTTTTCTTCTTGGTGTTGATCATGATCTTTGCCTCTTGTAGCTATTTTTAAAAATTAATGTGTGTTCAGAGTCTCCTCTCTCCTTTTTAAATTTTTTTGTTCCTTTTTAAAGAATTTGCTAGTTTGTTCTTTTGATTTGGTGCCATTCCAGAAGCTCTGAGTCACTGGAATAGTAAACTTAAGATAAATAAAGTGATGCTGAACTGGAAAAATGCTTTGTACTAATGTTAATATCATTTACATAAAAATGAGAACACAAAAATTTTATTTACTAATTAAATAAGTATAGAAGCTTGATGTCTTATATCTAAACGAATATTTTCCAATTAGAATAATATTAGGTAAACCAACAGCTGTATAGGAAATATAATGGATTTTCAGTTGAAGTTGGAGCACATAGGATATAAAATATCAGTGGAAATATTTTCCATAGTACGTTGTATATAATTTTGATGTTTCCTATTGCTAATCTTGAAAATCAAGTAACCTAAAATTGTTGCTATAGGTTTGATGCCCAAAATAGTTAAATATTATTTTGCCTCTTAAGTTTAGTAACTGGGATGAAAATTATGCACAATATAGCTTTTTGCTATTTTGTTTTGAGCACTGACCTCTTATTAAAAAAAATTTAATGTTTGAGAAACCTAGGGTTTTCCCCCATTCAGAGGACAGAAAGCAATTAAATATAAATACCTATCTAAAGCCATTATAGGTATGATAAGCTGTCAAATGATGTAATACAGATGCCTTGATTTTTTTCACAGAAGCATATTAATTCACTGTACTTTAAAAAGTAACAGTAGAAGGCTGGGCGCGGTGGCTCACTCCTGTAATCCTAGCTCTCTGGGAGGCCGAGGCGGGCGGATTGTTTGAGCTCAGGAGTTCGAAACCAGCCTGAGCAAGAGCGAAACCCCGTCTCTAAGAAATTAATTGGACAACTAAAAATATATATAGAAAAAATTAGCCGGGCATGGTGGCGCATGCCTGTAGTCCCAGCTACTCGGGAGGCTGAGGCAGGAGGATCGCTTGAGCCCAGGAGTTTGAGGTTGCTGTGAGCTAGGCTGATGCTATGGCACTCTAGCCGGGACAACATAGTGAGACTCTGTCTCACAAAAAAAAAAAAAAAGTTACAGTAGAAAGCAATCAGAGATCCAAAATACCTGGTGTCAGATACTTGGAAGTTATTTTTTTCAATGTTCAGTTCCTTTGTCTATGTTATTAGCACTGCATTTGTATTAGAGAGAGTGAAATATAAACTTGGTGCTCTGAAGAATGTCAATTCTGTCATAATAAGATCAAAGTATTACCTGAGTGCTTAGTCTAATTATACCCCAATGTCCAGAAGTCCATTTATCTTCCATGGCATGATGACTTAACAGACTGATAAAATTGGGTACTTTCTTTGTGCCATGAACTACTGAGATGGCTACAAAAATGAAAAAGATAACAATCTGCTTCCAGAAAGATCCAAGTCCAGTAGTAATTCCAAAATGTAAACGATTATATTTCAGTGGTAAATACTATAAATCGTGATATGTTAAGAGTGGTTGAGAATACAGAGGCAAAAAGGAAAGGCTTCCTTGAGGCAGTGATATTTGATCTGTGTTGGTGCAAGTGATTTGTCTGTAAGTAGTACTGGAAGTTTTCCTATTATTATTTTTTTACTTTGTCCCATCCATTTTTTAAAATCATGGTAAAGTATACATAACATAAAATTTACCATTTTAATTATTGTTAATTGTACAGTTCAGTGCCATTAAGTACTGTCACAATATTTTTCAACCATCACCACCATCCATCTTCAGATCTTCAGAACTTTTTCATCTTCCCCAGCTGAAGCTCTGTACCCATTAAATACTAACTCCTCATTCTTCCTACAACCCCTGATAACCACTATTCTACTTTCTGTCTCTCCAAGAATTTGAATACTCTGGGTAGTTTTCCTATTTTTAAATGTTCTTTCATCTTACTACTACCCCAGCATGTAGTAGGTGTTCAATAAACTTCTACATTAAATGGCAATTAAGAATTGAAAAGCATTGCTTATGTTAGTGACTTGACTATATTTCTTGTGTGCACACATACTGCGAGTTACTGTTATAATTACCCTGTTAATTTATAGGAAACCTTTCGTTTTCTCTTAAGTATTCTCTATTTAAATTTTTTTCATATCATTTACTTTCTTTTTAGACTGAATCTGGATATGGGTCTGAATCCAGCTTGCGGCGACATGGCTCAATGGTATCCCTGGTGTCTGGAGCAAGTGGCTATTCAGCAACATCCACCTCTTCATTCAAGGTTTGTGGTAAATGAGTGCTTTAAGATAAGTGAGTTTAATATTGGATGTTGTGAACAGAACATATTTGATAGTTTTTTGAAAGAACTTTTCTACAATATAATTTATTTGAAATTGTTATAGAATAACTTTTAAGGTATAAAATAATGACTCATGCAAATATGAAACGAACACATTCAAAGATTTTATTTCATTCATTAATTGAGATAAGATATAAATTTAAAAAGTGGTTCAAAGGAGAATCTGAAGAATACTGAAATGGATTTTCTAATGTATGCAAAACTGGTCAATATCCAAAGATTAGTAATGAATGCCTCTATACTGGACAAAGTTCATTTGCATCTCTAGGGACAAGAATCACTGACATTACTCAGTTTTTTACTAAGAGTTGTAAAATAGCTCAAATATAATGAAAGGGGAAAACTTCTATATGATCAAATAACACTCTCCCAAGGGTCTGATAGATGACACTCACCATTACTTTGAAAGGACACTGGTAATGTTTTTGCCCGTTTCAAAGTCTTTCACAATTGTTCTTCACAATGTCTAATTTGAAAACATTAAATGGTGCATTAGCAAATTGTCAGTCATTATTGCTTTCTTATTTCCTATTAAAAAATAAGGTTATCTCTTATAAGTGGCTTATCACTATCAAGCCTCTAGATTAGTCAATTTCAACCTATTCCTGGGAATATTACATTGAACTTGGCAGATATCCTTAACCCATATCCTCAATGATAAAGTACAGACCTTAAAAGGTAATGAAATACTGTAGGACCAAATAAAATCTAGTTTTATTTTACTTTATTTACATCCCCCCTTTTTGTGTTTTACAGAAAGGCCACAGTTTACGTGAGAAATTGGCCGAAATGGAAACTTTTAGAGACATCCTGTGTAGACAAGTTGATACTCTACAGAAGTTCTTTGATGCTTGTGCCGATGCTGTCTCCAAGGATGAACTTCAAAGGGATAAAGGTTAATTAAGCTATTATCACTATTTTTACTTGGAGAATGAATGGATTGAAAGCCTCTCCATATTAAAGGGTAATGTCTTTAAGTGATAAAGGTAATTATAGTCACTTTTGCTGCAAACCACCAATATAGCACATTTCAGTGTCCATGTAACTTGGGTACTTAAATAACACATACTAATTCATTTCTGATTATCCATACCTGATGCCACTGAAGACTTTTAAATGATACTCTTCATTCTGTTAAAAAATGGTATCTGTTATCTTGGTAATATGGAGCATTTCACATTATTATGATAAATAATAATAAAAATTAAAATAATAAAAAATAAATTTACCCCATGATAAGTTTTAGAGGTGGTAAGTCCTCCAGATCTGGGATCAATCAATTGATCCCCTTCTCCCTCTCTCCCTTTGTTTCCCTTTCCTTCACTTTTTCTGTCTCGTTCCCTTTAACTGCCCTTTTTCTTGTAGAAGAAAAAAAATCAATAGCAGAAATGAAAATCAACAATTTTTATACACATTTAAAAATAGTTTTTAGTGAGGTTTTATTTAAATGAGAGTAAGTATGACCTTCAATTCACTTTTAACATTAGATTTGAAGTTAATTTTCCTTTGTTAGTGCCAAAGATACTGCGTATATTAACATCTGTTCTTTAGTTTTTCTCTTAATTTACTTTAAAACCAAAAATGAACTACTCTGGCAGTATTAATAAATAGCACTAAATTCATTTAGGTTGCTTTACATTGTTTCACTTCTTGATCTTAATAAATGTGTTTAATCTGCATTCAGATTCTTTTCATCTTCTCTTTGTTCCTTTTTTCTGCCTTCTTTTGGATTAAGTATTTTTTATAATTTTATCTCCTTTGTTGGCTTCTTAAACATAACTTTTTATTTTGTTGTCTTAGTGGCTACGTTAGGGCTTATAGTTTCCATATTTAACTTACCGCAATCTACATTCAAGTAATATTATATCACTTCATGTGTAGTATCAGAACCTTCCGAGAATATATTAACAATTCACCTCCTACTAAGGCAGGACTATTGTGAGTTCTCCAACCAATACCCTGTGAATTATGAAGTTTTCCAGTCTGTGCTGTGGGAACAGGTACTTTCCCCTGCCCCTATGTAAGCTTTGGATACTGTTCCCTGGACTCCTGTCAGAAGATTCTTTTCCTGACCTTTATGGTTCCCTTACTTGCATGTGTTATCAGTACTCTGCTGAATACTCAAGGGGGACCTCCTGCCAATCCTCCAGCATTCTTTCTCTGTACAACTCTCTCCTCTCCAGTACTCTGCCTTTTGAACTCCAGTTTCCTTTGTCTCTGTGGACTCTCACCTCCATCTCCTCATTTCAGGAAGTCTTAACAGGCTCTTCTGGGGTTCCCTGTCTTTACTGTACAGCTTGGAAAGTCCCAAGGCAATGAGCTGAAACAATCATAGAGCTTTATTTGTTTCCTGGCTCTCAGGATTACTGTCCTTTGTTACCCCATAGCCAGTGTCTTGAAAACCATTGTTCCGTATATTTTATCCAGTTTTTTAGTTTCATACTAGAAAGTCCCTGTTATTCCATCTTGACCAGAAGTAGAAATCCATATTCCTCTTATAGTACTTAATTTTCTCTAAATTAAGTAGGCTTAAAATTCTTTATATTTGATACACTTTAAGTATTTGGTTCTTTAATGTGTAATTTTTTCCTCTAAAAAAAAAAGGCAGTTGAACTTCTACCTCTCCTTTGTTTAAAAAAAAAAAAAAGATACTCTTTTTATCAAATTAAACATTACACATTAGCTTTCTTTTGCTTGCAGATAGCCCTTTAAACAAAAACAGGATACAAACAATTCGATTCCTCGTTTATCTTTAAATGACCCACACTAATAGTGTATGGTATTTGAAGGACAAAAGTGATGATGGAAGAAGTAGAAGTTGGGATATAATGATAACCAGGTTGTATAGAGGATTTGAAAAATAATTTTAGACATTAAACTGAATCTTTTCTATTAGATGTTTGAATAAATAGAAACAGTATAGACAAATATATTAGTTTACTAGGCCTGCCATAACAAAGTACCACAGACTGGGTGGCTTAAACAACAAATTTATTGTCTCACAGTTCGGAGATTAGGCTATCAGCAGAGTTGGTTTCTTCCGAGGGCCATGAGGGAAAGATCTGTTCCAAGCCGCTCTCCTTGGTTTGTAAGTGGCTATCTTCTCTCTGTGTTTTCACATCATCTTCTCTCTGTATGTATCTGTGTCCAAATTTCCTCTCCTTATGAGGACACTAGTCGTATCAGATCAGAGCCTATCTTTAATGACCTCATTTTAACTTAATCACCTCTTACAAACCCTGTGTCCAAATAACAATCTCATTCTGAGGTACTCTAGGGGTTAGGAATTTAATATGAGAATTTGTTAGGGGGAGGGAAGGATACAATTTAGCCCATAACAACTGGTTTCCTACAAATGCTATTTACAAACTGCTGATGTTTTTAAGAATACATGCTGGGTAAAGGTGAAATGAGGACAAGGACCATAATTCCTGCTTTGGCAGATCAGAATTGCTGACCTAAGTATAAGAATTTCTGTGGATGTACTTTCATTAAATTATCAAAACAAAGTTTGTGACTTAAAGTATTTTAAGAATCATTATTCATCATTATGTGTGTCATTGAAATGATAATCCCAACCTCTCCTTGTATTTTAGGTGTTCACTATTTTTATAGAAAATATTTTATCAGAATTGCTAATAAGTCAGTCTTACCTGAGCGCCCACCACCACCACTCCCACAGAAGCTTCAGTGAGATTTAATTAACACTTCAGGTCTAGATACTCTGGGGATTGCAGAAGTAGTAGACATTACCTCTTACCTAAACATATTGTTTGATTTTAAAAAAAACAAGACATATATACCACATTAAAAGTAAAGTTTCTCCTAATCATGCTCTTCTATTCATTGTTTAATGACCTGAAATAGTTTTACATTTCTCAGCCTCTGTTTCCTCAGCTATAAAATGGTTGTTATATCTAGCACATGTGTTTGTGAGAATTAAATGATAATACATACGTTAGCACTGTGCATAATAGCAAAAACTCAATAAATAATAGCTGCTGTTATTAACGTGGTTAATTTGTATTGTTTCGGGGTGAGGGAAAGCAGGAATGTGCAAGATCCAAAGGTAGAGTTTAGCATAATAGATTTGAGTTTTGGTAAAGGAGACCAGTCCGATTGGAATGGAGGATTTATATGAAGGTGGTGGTTTCAAACCATGTCAGATATCCCTAAGAGTTCCTTAAAGTTGCCTCAAGAATGCACAAGCAGTTCTTTTTGTTTGTTATTTTTACGTTGCTCACTGAAAATACAGAGAAGCAGTTCTTGGGAAACAAAGGGGGAAGGCTACCCTTAACCTGAATAGATCTTATTTTCATACTAAGTGTTGGGCTAAAACAAACAAACAGAAAGACTGAAAACCCCCATTTGGTGCTAATAGAGTAAGGTAAAGAATATTGAACACAAGAACAGTTGGAATTGAATGTAAAAATTAATTTTCATATTGGTAATTTGGAAAGTTACTGTTTAGGCAGAGACATAGTTGAAATTAATATCTTAAGAAGATTAATCATTATAGATAATTATAACATAGATTAGAATGGTGAGAGACTTAAGAAAGAAGAAAATTATATGGTGAACCATTGTAGTAATCTAAGCATCAGTAAAGGAGCCTTTGGATCAAGCATGAAGAATAGAGAGGAAATCCGTTGGAAGAAAGTCACCATGATTAATTTTATAATCTTTTATATTATTTACCATGTACTATGTTAAATACTTTAATTATCTGATATAATTTTACAGTAGATGTAATTTTACAGTAGGCTATTATGTCAGTATTAATATTAAACCATTTTTACAGATGAGAGTCTACACAGAAAGAAGCCAAAGAGGAATGTTTGCACAGCTTGTTTATGGAGCTCCTTTTAGATATGTTCAGTTTTAGTATTAGACATTTATTTGGAGAAATTCTATGGGAGATATGAGCCTAGTGCTAGTAACACTAACAAGTTATATGAAAATAAGTTAGGGATTCTTTAGCATAAAATAGTTTAGATTCATAACAGTGGATAAATTCCCATGGGGTAGAAGGACAAATATCTAAGGAAGGAGACTTGAAGGATGCCTATAGCTAAAGAGCAAAAGGAAATTTGATTTTTAAAAAAAAAAAAAACATAAAATAGAGTCATGGTTAGAAGATGGAGATCCATCAAGAATGTTTAGTCTTGACAAGTAGAAATTTCACTGGAAGCATGAGCAGTCAGATATAGCATAGAGGTCACAAGGTCAAGGAAGAGATGGGGACCAACCATAGAAACAGATTTTTTTATTAAAAGATAGTTATCCTTTGAAAAAGCCTTTTTGTGTCTATTTGGAGGTGGAGGTTATTGTGAGGGGGTAGTTTGAGAGCAAGATTCAATTTGTTGGTGGCTAAGAAATATTTGGATGGTGAAAAAATGGATATCTGGTTGATTATTGTAATCGTTTGGGGAAAGCTTTAAAATAAAGAAATAATTGTATCATACCCTCACCCTAGTCCTACTGAATCAGAATATTGAGGAATTGGGAGAAGAAGTAGAGCTTAGGGTTATATTCTTTAAAAGTTTCTTGATATGTAGATAACCTTTCTAGTAGAAGCAGAAGCCAACATTATAAACAAGCCTTTTGAAGGCAGAAGGAAAGACCAGCAAAATGGAAAATCAAATAGTATATAGAGCTGGCTTTTGAGTTTTCCAAGAAAACGCATTCTTCAAATTGCGAAAATAGATAAAATCTAGAACAAATATAATGAAGTATCTGTTGCTATAGGAAAGAGTTCATAAAGGTAGAAGTGAAGGGAGAGGGTAGCAGACTGCTTCAATTTTTCATTGATAAGATGGAAAAACATAGGGAAATTTGAAAAGACTTTGGGAAGTAAGGATCTTAAAATGTACTTGAAGGTCGTCTTTGTGGGATTATGCCAGGGAACTAATTTAGAGAGAGTTGCTGTATAACTTCAACTGATAGTACACATGGCTTTTATATTATTGACTTCCATGAAGAACAGTATTGCACAAAAATCCCTCCTTAGTAGGGTAATTAAGTTTTTTTAAAATCATGATCTCTATCAACTAGATTAAGAGGAAAATTAACAAGAAATGAACTTTTTTTTTTTTTTAATGGGATGTGTCTTTGTTTATAGAGCCTTTTTTAGCAACTCTAAAGTTCAAGGTATAGGGACAAAGTTGGATGTGTGATCTAGGAACCAAGTAGTTTGTAGGCTTGCTTGGAAATTACAAGATTGAGAATGTGTATCATGGATGATGAAGAAAACACAGAAGTAGGTAACCATAGAGTTAAAGATAAGAAGGTGAATCTTCAGTAACTCAAAGTAGATACTAATCACTTACCTTATTAGTATCTACTTTGAGTAAAGGCCACTCTGTAGCATTTAAAAGCAGTTAATCAGTAGTATTGAGTCAAGGTCAGGATCTTGTTTGGTGATCAGGACAGGTTGACTATCCCTTATCTAAAAATGTTTGGGACCAGAAGTGTTTTGGATTTCAGATTTTTTCAGATTTGGGAATACTTGCGTTCTTATATTTGTATTATACTTACAGGTTCAGCATCTTTTCTTTTTAATTTTTTTAATTTTATTTATTTTTCACAGAGGCCATGCTAGTCTTCTCTGTATCATTCCAATTTTAGTGTATGTGCTGCTGAGGTGAGCACCTGGTTCAGCATCTTTAATCCAGAAATCTGAAATCCAAAATGCTCCAATTGGTATTTCCTTTGACCATCATGTTGGCACTCGAAAGGTATCAGATTTTGGAACATTTCAGACTTCAGATTTTCATATTGGGGATACTCAACCTACACTGATTTAAAAACAGAGCAGTGCACTATGTTAATGGATTTCTTAGAATTGACCATATTTGCAATTTTTTTTTTTTTTTTTTTTGAGACAGAGTCTCGCTTTGTTGCCCGGGCTAGAGTGAGTGCTGTGGCGTTAGCCTAGCTCACAGCAACCTCAAGCTCCTGGGCTCAAGCGATCCTTCTGCCTCAGCCTCCCGAGTAGCTGGGACTACAGGCATGCGCCACCATGCCTGGCTAATTTTTTTATATATATATATTTTTAGTTGTCCAGCTAATTTCTTTCTATTTTATTTTTAGTAGAGATGGGGTCTCACTCTTCCTCAGGCTGGTCTTGAACTCCTGAGCTCAAACGATCCGCCTCCCTCCGCCGCCCAGAGTGCTAGGATTATAGGCATGAGCCACTGCGCCTGGCTGGGAAAGTGGTTAATTTTTCGACTAAGGTGTCTACAGAGGTTTCAGTATTGATACTGAAATCTATAAGAATGATGAAAGTGGAAAAGAAAAATATCAATTGAATATTGATATCACAGCCAGTTAGAAATAAATATAAGCTGTTAGATAATAGGTCATGATTTGAAAAAGTTGTTATAAATGAGTAGCAAAATTTTCATATGATAAAAAAATGAAATAGTCTGGTAATTAGAAAATGGCAGTACAGAATGAATGTATTTTCCATGGTTATTCCTACCATTTACTCAGGGGACAGAATAAGGTATCAAATTGGGCTCTACATCCATAGAAGAGAGAGCTAACGTGTATGAGATGTTCCTTATAGAGCCAAAGTACTCCTGAGGTAGAGATACAGGTGATAAGTAAGATATTAGTTTAGAATGAAAATTCCCTGTGTAGAAAGGAAGTTCCTCAAAAGATAATAAAACAAAGAAGCCACAAAAGGCTTGATAAAAGCAGCAGATAAGGTTGGGGCCCGAGGTTCAGAAATTTGCATTATGAGTGTAATACATGGTACAGAGGATTAAAGTATGTTAGACAGTAGAAAAAGGGATAGTACAGGGTGTCCCAAAAGTCACCACACATAGGGAAAATGTATATTTTATAAATAAAGGTACATTTAGCTATAATATCCCATTTTCCCTATGTATAGTGACTTTTGGGACACTGTACTTAGAAGAAAGAGGTATTCAAAAGGAGAACACAAGGAATTTGAGAAGTTAAAAGGGATGTCTAGTCATAGACACACACTGAAAAGAATGAAAATTGATACCACATCTCCAAGTCATTATATTTTCCCTGCATATCCAGAAATAGTAGATTTAAGAACTCTCAGAGGCAATCTAAGGTATCCTCTACATGGAAGGTTCCTTGTACAGTCCTGCTCAGCCCTTCTAGGCCACTGCATAAAGTTATGAAATAGCTCCAAGGGTGGCATTAGGAAGGAAATAAACCCAAGGAAGGAGATAGAAAGACTAAAGAGTAAAGTAATTCATAACTCAATAACCTTCCCTTAAGTAAGAATGGATATAGTTTTATAATAATGTATTTAAAGACATGCCACAGCATTTATTTATTAAGCATACCTTGATTACCAATGAAAAAAACAAAGATGAGTGTAGTCACAGAATCCTGAGTAAATTAACTCAGTTGAACAACATAAGAATAAACTGATTAATTTCTACTCTTTTCCATCCTGATTTCTTTAAATGTATTTTATTTAGTCGTAGAAGATGATGAAGATGACTTTCCTACAACACGTTCTGATGGAGACTTCTTGCATAATACCAATGGCAATAAAGAAAAGAGTAAGTAATACATTTTTCCCCTCAGCTGGATAAAGTATACTTTCTGAAGTTATATAATAACTCAAAGAATAATTACCTAATTTAACAATTTTTTAAAAGCAGTAGAACTGCTGAAATCCAAGTGAAAATATTTTCTAAGGAAAGTCATGTAGGTAAATTCACATTCTGATGTTATAAAGTAATGGTAACTTTTACATATGGATATCCAGCTGCCGCAGCATCGTTTGTTAAAAAGATGATTTTTCCCCATTGAATTCTTGGCACTGTTTGAAAAATCGATTGCCTGTAAATGTAAGGATTTATTTCTGGACTTGTTAGATAGATAGTAAGGGATTCCAGATCTCCTAGGGATAAGAGTGGGTGCCATTGCCTTGGGGCAATTGCCCCACTTGGGAAGAAGGACAAGGGAGGGCCACAGGCCTCCATCTTGGTACTGCTCCACCATAATCTCCTGAGCGACTGCCATACTTGGGGGAGGAGGGAATACCCTATGAATCTGCCAGTCATAACGTAGTGTGCTGGCTGCGTAAGAACACAGAGGACTCTCTAACCCATGGGCCAAGCAGCACAGGTACCATAGAGTACAAAATTGAACTAGAACAACCCACGTGTTAAGGCTCAGGTCATATGACTCCCAACTGTCCAATAAAGTGGTTCTATGGTGACATCTGAGCCACTAGGGAGGGTCCCAATCCAGGCACTTAAAACAAGAGGCAGACCATAACCAAGTCCCTTTTTTGCACCTTTCCTTTTGCTGCAACATTGGGTCCGATTGTCATCTGTGGCGTGCGTAGGTGCTCTGTAAACCTATATCTTGCTCTTGCCCTATAATCCTGTCTTTCTCTCAACAAACCTCATTTTCATGCTTGCCTAACTTTGGCGTGTCTGGTCATTCTTCGGCCATGGGCATGCCAAGAACCGACATTTCAGACTAAAACCTGACTGACTAACATTTCTATTCACTTAATCTATATGTCTTTTTTATAAAGAAAATAAGATATTTTTGTTTTTTAAAAAATTCTAAAAATATATATTAATGCATTAAAAATAACAATAGTAAACTCATTACTTGTGAACATGAATAACATTTTTTGAGAAAAATACTGTATTTTATAAAAAATAGTGGGAAGACTGCCATTGTTTTACATTTTGAAAATCTCATTAGTATTTGGCTTCATAGAAGACATCTGAATTCTCTCATATGCTTCTGCATTCAATTTGTTTATATATATTGTCTTGGTTGAAGTTTATGAAGTAAATCCAGATACAGATATGTAATTAGAATAAACAAGAGTATTTTAAGGGCCTTTAAGATATTTTTGGATATTCTTTTATACCACTCCAAAGCTCAAGTGGTAATTTCTTAAAAATCAGTTGTACTGTAGAATCTAAAGCTATATTAATGAACTTTTCATTTTCTGTTACATTTAAATCCTTTCATCTACTTTGAACTTGAGTTATCCTGCCTTTATGTGGGTTAGTGGAACATTCTTTAGAATTCCATTTTTATTTATGTATAGTATTGTTGAGTGTATTTTTTATATAGCATTTTTAGTGATTGCCCTAGGTGTCATATTATTTTACATATAATTATGGTCACTTTTCCAGTTTGAAATCTTACCTCCTTTTTTTTCCTCTTTAAACACAAACTTTATTTCTTTCTTTCTTTTATTTCAATAGATTTAGAGGTACAAGTGGTTTTTGGTGACATGAATGAATTGTATAGTGATAAAGTCTGGGCTTTTAGGCTTTTAGTGTATCCATCACCCAAACAGTGTACATTGTACACAATAGGTAATTTTTTTATCCCTCATTCCCCACCCTGCCTTCCTCGTTTTGTGTCTCCAGTGTCCTTTAAACCATTCTGTATGACCCTGCGTACCTATACCTTTGCTCCCACCTATAAGTAAGAACATGCAGTATTTGGTTTTCCATTCCTGAATTCACTTAGGATGGCCTCTAGTTGCATCCAAATTGTTGCAAAAGATATTATTTCATTCTTTTTTAGCGGTAAGTAGTATTCCATAGTGTATATATATACCACATTTTTTTTATCCACTCATCAGTTGATGGGAGAAAATAGTTTTTTAAAAGCTTTATTTAGATATAATTAACATATTATTTAGATATTAATATTTTGACAAAGTGCACAATTTGATAAGTTTGGATATTTTCATGAAGCTGTCAACACAATCAAGATAATTAACATGTCTGTCAACCCTCAAAACTTTCCTCTATCACCTTTGTCATCCCTCTCTTCCCCTCATTCCCAGACAATCACTGATATATTTTCTGTCACTGTAGATTAGTTTGCATTTTCTAGAATTCACTATGAATGGACTCATGGAGTATGTTTTCTTTTGTGCTGGCTTCTTTCTTAGTTTGAGATGTATCATTATTGTTGCATGTATCTGTAGTTGATTTCTTTTCATTGCTGAGTAGTATTCCATTGTTTAGATATTCTATAATTTGTTTATCCATTCATTTGTTGGTAGACATTCGGGCTGTTTATAATTTTGGCTGTTGCAAATAAAGCTTCTGTGAACATTCTTGTACATGTCTTTGGATGAACATGTATTTTATTTCTTTTGGGTAAATATCTAGGAGTGGAATAGCTGAATTACATGGTAGATGTGTGTTTAACTTTTTTTTTTTTTTTTTTTGTGACAGAGTCTTGCTTTGTTGCCCGGGCTAGAGTGAGTGCCGTGGCGTCAGCCTAGCTCACAGGAACCTCAAACTCCTGGGCTCAAGCAATCCTTCTGCCTCAGCCTCCTGAGTAGCTGGGACTACAGGCATGTGCCACCATGCCCGGCTAATTTTTTCTATATATATATTTTTAGTTGTCCAGATCATTTCTTTCTATTTTTTGGTAGAGACGGAGTCTCGCTCTTGCTCAGGCTGGTCTCGAACTCCTGACCTTGAGCGATCCACCCGCCTCGGCCTCCCAAAGTGCTAGGATTACAGGCATGAGCTACTACGCCCGGCTGTGTTTAACTTTTAAAGAAACTGCCAAACTGTTTTGCACCAGTCATATATGAGAGTTTCAGTTCTTCCACATCCCCACCAACATTTAGTATAGTCAGGCTTTTTAAATTTCAGTCATTCTAACAGGTGTGTAGTAGTATCCCATTGTGGCTTTAATTTGCATTTCCCTAGTAACTAAGAAAGCATCTTTTCTTTTTTTTTTTTAAGTAAGCATCTTTTCATGTGCTTATTGCCACTTGTATCTTTTCTTTGGTGAAGTGTGTTTATATCTTTTGCTTATTTTTTTTAATTGGGTTGTTTTTTTATTTAATTCAAAAGCTAACCATGAACTATAAAGTTTAAACATAAAAGCCATTTAAATAATTGCATTGGTCCTAGACTTAAACTTGGATATTTGTTTTTTAATTTTCTATTACTTTATTAGATTCTATAGTTTATCTTCATATATTTGTAGAATTCTAGGCTTCTCAAAATGTAAGGTAGTTCTTGCCATAATTAGGTCCTGCTCTAAGCTGTCATAATATTATTGTTAAAGTATTACTCCTCCTACCACTTGATTCATTGGGTGCTGCACAGCAAATAGATTTCAGGAAATAGAATCTAAAAAAATGATTTGAAAGTACATATGCTGCCACATAGCACATAGAACTTGGATGGGAGATTTTTTAATGTTGGCCCACAGGAGGAAAATTATAATCCAAAAATGTTCTCCGACTTGTTAGTTTTCTGAACATACTCTAACCTTAAATTGTGATGAAGAATTATTTCTTAGAAGATTTTCTATGAATAATTTTCTTTTTCAGTATTTCCACATGTAACACCAAAAGGAATTAATGGTATAGACTTTAAAGGGGAAGCGATAACTTTCAAAGCAACTACTGCTGGAATCCTTGCGACACTTTCTCATTGCATTGAACTCATGGTTAAACGTGAGGACAGCTGGCAGAAGAGACTGGATAAGGTAAGACTAGTTTTTCTTCCTTTTAAAAATAATCATATTTTATTTTAAGTGTTATGTATAGATTGAATATTTTAATCAAACTAACTTCTTAGGAAAGAATCTTCTAGTGGATCAGTAGAAGTAGCAGGTGATACTACTATTCCTCTGAAACTTTACTGGCATCTTAAACTCATTTTCTGAACAAGATTCACCAGTTGTTTCTTCAGTTACTATACAATATGCTTTCTTGATAAAATTTACTATAAAAATTTTTATGATGATATTAGTAATGCTTTGGAATAGGAGTGTTGAACCATTTAACATTACTCACCTTTATTGTGCAATATATGAAACTGCATTTAAGTTAATATGAACTAATTTAAACCCCAATTTACAAAGTTAAACATTTACTTATTACATTCATAGCCATCTGTTTTTTCCATGGTCATTGTGATATCATTTAACATACATTATTATGTTGTCTGATTAAACATTTGCCCTATGTTCACATTTTCCCACCTTTGTTTAAACTGCAGCACTGATAATAATATTACAATGTGTATCTTTAGTTTCTAGTGTGAAGTATGGCTCAGTGAATTTGTTTAGTAGGAAAACTTCTGCCTATAATTCAACTTTAGAAAAACAGTAAAATGTTAGAACTGGAACTGAAACATACCTTAGAGAATCTAGTTTCAGTCCATCGCCATCATTTTATAGAAGGAGGAACGAAGGCCCAGAGAGTTGTCCAGAGGTGTTAGGTAGCAGGGTTGGAGGAATTTTCTCTATTCTGATATATCAACTCTGGATACCAGGCTAGACATATGCCAAAATCTTATCATTAATTATAAGTTATATTGTTTGCAGTGTTCGAAGGTCTATCAATTTGAGCAGAACACTAAGGAAAGCAATGCCATCATTGGTGTAATAGCAGAATGGCCACAGAATTTGAATAACACTATGTGTTTAAGAAGGTCCCCATGTTTTAGAAGAAAGGAGAACTGTTCAGAATTCTCAAGTGCAGGTGAGAGTAAGCCATATTGACTAGCAATATGTCATCTTTTAAAACAGGCAATGAGGCCGGGCGAGGTGGCTCACGCCTGTAATCCCAGCTCTCTGGGAGGCCGAGGCGGGAGGATTGTTTGAGCTCAGGAGTTCGAAACCAGCCTG